TATATATGTGTGTGTGTGCCTGTGTTTGCTAAGTCACTTCAGTCGCATCTGACATTTTGCAACCCCATGGACTGTAGCCTGCCAGGCTCCTCTGTCCATGGGATTCTCCAGGCAAGAATACTGGAGTGGTTTGCTGTGTCCTTCTCCAGGGAATCTTCCCAACGCAGGGATCAAACCTGCGTCTCCTGAAGTTCCTGCATTGCAGGTGGATTCTTTACCACCGAGCAACCGGGGAAGTCCATACATATGTGTGTGTGTGTGTGTGTGTGTGTGTGTGTGTGTGTATACACTTTTTCAGATTCTTTTCTGCTATGAGTTATCACAAGATACTGAATATAGTTCCCTGTGCTTTGCAGTAGGTTCCTGTTGTTTATCTGTTTTATATAGTAGTATGTATCTGTCAATCACTAACTCCTGTTTTATCCTTTCCCAACATTTCCCCTTTGGTCACCATAAGTTTGTTTTCTATGTTTGTGAATCTATTTCTGTTTTGTAAATAAGCTCATTTGTATCTTTTTAAAAGTTATATTCCACATATAAATAATATTATACGATATTTGGTTTTCTGTGTCTGACTTACTTCACTCAGCATGACAATCTCTAGATCCATCCATGTTGCTATAAATGGCATTATTTTGTTCTTTTTATGGCCGAGTAACTATGTATATATATATACACACCACATTTTCTTTATCGATTCCACTGTCAATGGACATTTAGGTTGCTTCCATGTCTTGGCTATTGTAAGTAGTGCTGTTATGAACATTGGATGCATATATCTTTTTGACTGAGTTTTTGTTTCTTCTGAATATATGCCCAGAAGTGGGATTGCTGGATCACATGGTAACTCTATTTTTAGTTTTTTAAGGAACCTCCATACTGTTCTTTATAGTGGCTGCACCAATTTCATCCCCACCATTCCCAGTGTAAGAGGGTTCCCTTTTTTAAAATTAATTATTTATTTTACTTTACAACATTGTATTGGTTTTGTCATATTTTGACTTGAATCTGCCATGGGTGTACATGTGTTCCCCATCCTGAATCCCCTCCCACCTCCCTCCCCGTCCCATCCCTCTGGGGTTCCCTTTTTTCACACCCTCTTCCGTTTCCTTCTTAATGAAAAAAAGTTGTCACCTTTTTTTTTTTTTTTCAGATTTTGAATGATATTTCTCTTTAGATTCTGAATTTTTATGCTTCCCTCAGGCTTTGGCATGAGCCTGTGTGTGTGTGTATGTGTGTGTAATTATTATGAAAATGTGGAAGAACTTTTATAAACTAAACCATGAAATAAATTAATGTCTTTCATCCCCATATGGGTGTATCAGTGTGTGTGTCTCTGAGTAACTAAAATACACTCCTCCAATAACTGAACCAGTTTGTCTTGGCTGGGAAAAGAGGGACTGAGAACAGCGTGGGCTCCCAGGGCGCAGGAGGGAGGAAGGACAGCCCACAGGGGCGGAAAGGGTGTGAGGATGAATGGGCAGTGTTGGACCACTTGAATGTCTGTAGCAGAGCAAGATGTATTGTCTGTGGCTGCTCATTCCCAGCCTTTCCCCTTCGCCTCAGGCTGCTTAGAGATGGGAACACAGCTTACCAAGCTGAGGTGGTGACAATCGTAACATGAATTATCCACATGGTATCTATGATTGTCTTGCCCAGTCCTGCATGTGAGCTCTCAGAGGCCCAGGAGGAGAACGGGAAGGACTCTTAACCATATGCCCATGTAGGTTCCTCACTTTAGAGATGAAGAGGCCTAGGGGAAAATTAAAGAGCAGGGCCAGCATCACATAACTAGTTAGGGTCACATTTCAGGGTCCTTAAGTTCTGATGCATAACCTTGAAGTCTAGCGGGCAGAATTATCATAAGAGGTCCAGGGTCTTGTGCTTTTTCCTTACCAGGTATTGGTGTGCACAGCACTCACTCCTCAATGAGAAAATGCACTCCGCTATTTAACCCACATGCAGTAACTAAGGGACTTCCCTGTTTGGCTCAGACAGTAAAGAATCTGTGTGCAATGCAGGAGACCCGGGTTCTATCCCTGGGTTGGGAAGATAGAAGAGAATGGCTACTCACTCCAGTATTCTTGCCTGGAGAATTCCATGGACAGAGGAGCCTGGCAGGCTGCAGTCCATGGGGTTGCAAAGAGTCAGAAATGACTGAGTGATTAGTAACTAATAGTAACTGAACTCATTACAAGGCATTCCATACAGATAATTTGGGGCTGGAATTCCCTGGAATCAAAAATGTAACTGTGAGTAAACATGTGCAAAGGCTTATGCTTTGCATTAAAATTTAAGTGCTGTCTGGTTAAATCTATATTCTCCTTCTTTGAGAATATATCTTAAAGGTACAGTGGAGGAGAACTCTGGCCAGTTGTCTTAAACATGGAGGAGACTTTCTGGCAAAGTTGAGGATTTGCATTTTTACACTTCTTCTTCCTCTTATAAATAACCAGGTTGACTGAAAGGAGACTGTGAATATTTTTGGAATAGGAGAAATCTTATCTAGACTTGAGGCACAGACTTCTAGAGGTTGAGAGGTTGCTAAGAAGCCCACCGTTATCATGACCACACTCATATCCACTGAGTGCCTCGGGGCCTCACTGCCCGCCAGCCCTATATCACTGACACATGCTACTTTTGCCAGCTCTTCTTCCTGGATTCTTACTTCTTTCTTTCAGCTCTAGTTCCTTTCTCTACTGCTGGAGGAGATCCCAAGAGGACTTGGGCTAGAATGACCATAGGATAAGGAGCTATTTGATATTTGCTCAGGGGCAAGAATATGGATAGAAAATAACTACTGATTGGGAAGCTCTTTGGTCTTTGGATTAGTATCTCATGAATTGTGCTCCAAGTAATTCAGTACGCCAGATGACAAAAACTATTCTGTCCCAAACAAGTTCTATGTCCAAACAAGTATGGGGCACAAAGGATTAAAAAACATTGTTGTAGGACTTATTAGAACCCTTAATGTAACAGTTCTCAGGTACAGTATGAATCTTCAAAAGGTTGGTATGGCACATTTTTCTCAAGCACATTTAACCACTGATACTACTTTTTTTTTTTGCAAAGTATCACCCAGGACCAGAGTTTATAAACACAATTTGGGAAGGGCTATTCAGCATAGACACTCAAAACTTATAGGTAAGTTAGAGTCTTTCAAAGTTTGATGTCTGGCAAATTGGTGTAGGCATTTTTCAGAGAATAGAAATGTGTTCTCTTACAATCTTCATTGATGCGAAGGTTGATATTCTGTTGAAGAACTGAGAGTATGAACTTCATAATGGAGTATGAACTTCAATGATGATTATTACTAAAACTGGATATGTAAACGTGAAAGGGAAGGCATCTTGAGAAGTGAACATATTTCAATTCACTAGGTTTTATTCAAACACTAGGCACCCTGGAATTTTTTTAAAATAGATCTATTTTCAAACTGCTTTTTAACTTTATATTGACATAATAATGATGTACAAATGAATAAAATGATACAGAATACATTTTTTATAAAAGACTAATGTTGATTTATTTTTTTTACTGGAAATAATAGAGATGATAAACAAGGGGCTAGTTTTATTTTAGATATGAAAGTAGATAGTGTATCTGAGGACAAGTCTAAACATGCCTTGGTTGATGTCAGCATGACTGACTAGACTGGAAGAAACTAGAACTTGGATTTAGAAACTGTCCTGCAAATAGAGTAGTCACTGAAAAGGCACGCGGAGCTGCCCATTACAGAAACCAATGGATGTGACACTGGATACCCTGGTGATTGTGTTCTGCCCATAAAACCATGTAAAGTAGTTGTCTCTCAGGTATTGTATAGAGTTCAGGGTGGAGCATATGGAATATCATCTGGCAAAAGAAAGGCAGGGGGATTCTTCTGGGGGCACCTGCTCTACTCAGCAGACTACTGATATACAAAGGGCTTAGGTACAAGGAATAAAGCAAGTCCTGGAAACTAGGATCAGATCTAGGACACAAGGGTGGGGCCAGCCTGCAAACACAGCTAGGCTGACTTTGAATCCTAGGGTTGGTTAGTCCGGACCTGTTGACATATGCTGTTCCAGGTCCTGGAGATGAGGATTGGTCTGATCCTGATAATGTTTAGGAGTGAGAAAGGAAAGTCTTCCATGGGGAGAGGAGAAAAACAGGGACTAGACAGAAGTTAGGACACTCAGAGATCCTAAGCCTTTTCTTTTGTAACAACAGTGATACCACTGGGTGTTTCATCCAAGTCCATATTGGATGTAATGAACTCATCTCTGAAATACCTCTCTTGGTGTTCTTGGGGAGACTGGGAGAAATGAGGGTGGTGCATATTCCCTGTAGTGCCTGTGACATTTGAAATTTGATGGTAGCTCAGTTGGACCTCTCTTTTGTCTCAATGATTGTTAGTTCCTTGAGAGCATGGGTCATAAAATCAGAAGCAACATGTACAACTGTCACTTGAACTCTTTCAATATGCCAAATGCTTCAAAAAAAAAAAGAGGAGTGTTATTATCTCTACTTTACAGACAACAGAACTGATCTTCTAGAACGTCAGATAGCTGTTTAAGTCCTCAGAGAACTGTGTGTGCTTTCATTTAAGACCAATGGCTCTCAACCTGGGACGTTTTAAAAAATATTGAGTCATGTACCCCATCCTCAGCTATTTGGATTCATTCCACTGGGGCTGACATTTGGACATCTGTATATGTCAACACCCTGGGGTGATTTTAATGTGCAACCAGGGCTCAGAATCTTGGCCTTCTATCATGTCGCCTTGTTGTATTGTTATCCCTGGTGTCCAGTACAACATTCACCCAAGACAAAGGTTAGAGACATGTTTATTGATTAGTTCAGAAGGTGTTTGTGGCTGAAGGGAAGAGCAGGGGCTGAATGCCACTAGAAGTTATAAACTGTTCCCGTTAGAGGTTGGAAATGAACACTGTTTCCAGAAGACAGAGGCTGGCTATTCATTATATGCTTAGAGATATTTTGCAAACCTTCCATTGCAGGTGGTGTTGTCCTCAACCCAGCCTATTATGGCATGCCTGGCCACACCAACATCATGATCCATGAGGTGGGGCATGTCCTGGGGCTCTACCATGTCTTCAAAGGGGTCAGTGAGAGAGAATCCTGCGATGACCCCTGCAGGGAGACCGTGCCGTCCATGGAGACAGGAGACCTCTGCGCCGACACTGCCCCCACTCCCAAGAGTAAGCTGTGCCAGGACCCAGAGCCTGCCAATGACACCTGTGGCTTCACCCACTTCCCAGGGGCTCCATTCAGCAACTACATGAGTTATACAGGTATCACCATTGTCCTGATGGATTTCTTTTCTGTTAAGATTACATGGAAGCCTTTGTGGGCTGGGAGGGTGGAGGTATGAGAATTAGAGAGTATCATCAAGAGTCATTCATGCCAGAGAATTGAAGCGTATTTGTCATGGCATTTATTTTTCATGTCCTTGAAAAACTTACAGAAGTATTGAAGTTTGAAGCAGTCTCATTGACTACATTCTCCTCCACTAAAATTAAAAGAAAAACATACCTCTGACACAGATAGTTAAAAAGGGAGACAAAGTCAAACACTCTCTTGAGAGCCCTTTGACCTCTAGAACATGGTTACCCTGCTTCTCTAAAACTTGGTTATCTTGCTTCTCTAGAACTTCGTTATCCTGCATCTTTGTCACATTCTTAGGGATTTACTATAAAGGAGATTCCAAAAGTGATTGAGAAAGAGGTTTTTTGGTCAAGGTGGCTGTTTTTACTGGTTTTGAAGTTGATCAGAAAGATGGCTCTGGTTAATGTTAGGCTCAGAGTTCCTTTTTCTTTCATGTTATTTTTAAAAGTATCAGATTCTCCTCTTCCAACACTAGCCAAGGGCCGATTCTTAGTCTTCCTATAAAAAATGGTGTTGTCTCACTTAAAAATGGTACTTTCCTGGTCCTGGGGACAACTTTAGTGTCTGGTTTTGTTGTCTTAGATTATGCTTCTTTATCCTTCCATATCTTTCCTGTTTCTGTCAAAAAGCAATACTAGTCATCATCTCCTGATAATGAACTTAAATTTATCCCTAAAATTAAGGAGTGATGTGATATGATGACTTATCCCAGTGGTGAAGGAAAGAGGTAATTTTTCTTATAGGGTTTAGGGACTTAGTGATAAGTTCCAGAACCACCCCACCCTTCTGCCCAATAGAAAAAGGTAAATGATAAAATGCTGGCCATGCCTTTGAAGGGAAGAGTGTGAACTAGTCTTGTCCATGACCCATCAATATATTGCTATCTAAGTCTAATCTAGGCACATGATTCAGGTACATAAATTTCATAAGGACCAGCACTCCAGCCTCCCCCAACCAGCACACAGTGTCCCTTTCCAGGGCAGAGGGACCAGACAATGGGGTGCGGAGGGCAGAGCTCTTTAGGCACCGCCTTTGAAGTGGACAGAGGAAACACCTGAGAAGGAAGGAGAGTGTTGGGTGCGCTTCCATGGAAAAAGACCTGGAAACTAAGATAACTCCCTTTCTAACCTTATGAAAGGTGTCCCTAATGGGGAATTTTGCCAGCTCCAAAGGGAAGCTGGGGATCACCAGTCCCAGGTGTGATGCCTCCTTGACGTTTTGGCTCTCTCTCCTCATGCATCCCCACTGAATACTCATTAACCTCGGCCAAAGTCACCAGGCATAAAGCAGGTGTCTAACTCCACGCACCATCATGGATAAGAGGGTCATATGCTGAAACACTGCCATCTTGTGGTTTCCTGAATAAACAGTGTCAGCTCAGAGCAACCTGTACCCCAGGGCTTGAGTCTCTCACTGGCCCAGCCCGAGGTAAAGCAAGCCCAGTTTGCTTTAGAGATCAGCCACTGTTCTTCTCTGCCTTCTCTTTTCCATCTCCAGCCTAGATACTTTCTGGCAAAATCTATCCCTGCCTGGGGGGACTTTGCAGGGTAAAGCCTCCATCTCTCTCGTTTCCTTTTTTGTCTCCGCAGATGATGCCTGCACTGACAGCTTCACCCCCAACCAAGTGGCCCGAATGCACTGCTATCTGGACCTTGTTTATCAGCAGTGGAGCCAGAGCCGGAAGCCCACCCCCATCCCCATCCCCCCCGTGGTCATCGGGCAGACTCCCAAGTCCCTCACTATCCACTGGCTGCCTCCAATTAGTGGCGTTGTGTATGACAGGTGAGAGGGCGCTGGCTTGTGGGTGAGCTGGTATCTTTCTCCGTGGTGTTTCTTATGAATGAGGGAAAGAGCGTGAAGTTAGGGGAGCCCCAGTTTGTAACAATAAGTGTGCGCCATTGCCCAGGGCTGCCTCCGCCTCCCTGCTCCGTCCTTATCTCCTGAGCAGGGCTCCTGCGGCTCTCACGCAAGCCAACACTGCATCACGTGTGCCCGCTCCTTGGCCAGGGGCACCTCCGATGTTTCCTTATGTCCCATCTGGCGTGATCCCAGGAGCTGCGAAGAGGTTGACAAATGTGATAACGATGACCTGACAAAACTGAGATGGCACTTGCTACCTGTCCAGGGCAGCTGTTCTGCTTGGTGTAAGGATGGACGACAGTAGTAAGGGGCTTGCTACTTGCACAGTGGTGTCTGGAAGAAGGGAAGTGCGGCGTCTTCCTCCAGGCAGTTCTGGGGGTGGGTGGGTAACTGGCTATTCAAGCCATGCATCAAGGGTTTAACTGGTTCAAGTGGGCGTTTCTAATGCCTCCTTTCTATCCTGTTGTGCCCTGTGCCTGCCTGTTATGGCTATTACATCTTGTGCGATTGTCATTATCTGTTCATTTTCCTGTCTGTTCCACTACTCAACTGGCAGTTCTAAGGGGGCAGAACTGCTTTCTGTTATCTTGGTCTCTTGACCTGCCACAATAAACACCTAATTCATATTTAGTGAAGAGAATTGTTCTAGCTAAAGTTGGTTTTTATTCATCCTCTGCATATTGGGGTAATGATTACCAGGAACATTTCTGTGGCAAAGAGAGACGGAAGGAAAAGGGTGACCTCTGACAACTGGTGGGAAGATGGGGGGATGGGGTTTAACGGAGAAGGGTCGGAACCCCATCCACGGCCTGCTCTCCATTTTCCCAAAACCTGCCACTGTATTCTAAATAACCAGTGGTTGTGGCTTACTGGGGCCTTCTGTGTGAGAGGCATTCACTATGTGAGATATTTTACCTGAAATTATTTTCTTTAGTCCTCGCAGTGAGCCCAATCCCTGCTGTATCAGTGAAAAATCCGAGGCAGGGTAGAGGTGAACTGGGTACGTCCCCGGGAATTTCAGAACTGGAGGACGAGTAATAGATTGTTTCTTTGAATTTAGGGCTTTCTCACTGAGCAGGTGGATAGCTCCTCATCTGTGTGTGACACTGTCTTTCTGGGTGTCAGATCCCTGCTGAGGAAATGAGCGTCCCTGAAGCATGTTCCCATGTACTCCGGCTTTTCTGAAAGCCTAGGAGAGAGGGCAGGCAGAGACAGGGATGGGAAGAAGCAGGTGAATCATTTTGCAAACTGGCTTTCCCAGCTTTCTGGGATCTTGGTACCTCTCCTTGCCAGCCTGATGTGCATTTACTGCATGATGGTACTTAGACCCACAAGCCTATAAACAGTTTTGATTTTCACCAGCCCGCAAGCTCCCATGGACCCCTTTTGTGAGTCGACCTGTATCTCTGTGATGTGTGGAAGAAACCTCTTCCTGCGAGTGTGACCTTGGGTGGCTCTGGCTGAACACTAGGTCCTCCGTGGGTATGTGCAAACCCACGTTTTTACATCAGTTTATGTAACACGTGTAAACAATTTAATCTTTCAATTCTTTCTCTGGTACAAACGTTACGATAAAGCAGACATCACTGCTGGCTGGCTGCGAGGCTGTTGGCAGAAAAGGCTGCAGTTGGCTTCCTTTTCTCAGCGAGGTGGGCCACAGCGCCGAGGCCTCACGACACGTGTGTCGGGGAGACTCACGTCACGTTCCCAGGGATTTGTGTCACGCTTGGAGTTGTGTTTACTCCTCCTCAGTAGGTATTTGGAATCCTTATGTCAGAGAGGAGCCCAACCACGCACTCAGCGGCGGCCCCGGAAGAGCCAAGTGCATCAGGGAACTGTGGTTTGGAATTGTGTCCGCAGCGGCCGTGAGTGCTGACTGCAGTTGGGGGTTGCAGTTAATGACAACTTTTCGTTGCCAAAGTACTGGACACTTGGTGTTTGGGAACTTGCTCAGAGGAATTAAGAAACTTCTGACTGTAGGCAGTTCATCTCTCTGAGCCTAAATATCCTTACTCGTAAGCAGGGATGAGAAATAATTTATGAAAAGCATCTCATGGGACAATGCCAGGTAGATAGTGTGCTTAATACACTGCAGCTGGTAGTGAGAGGGTAACAGATAGGAAGGCCAGAGGTCCCCAAGCGGCAGGAGGAAATAGACTACAAGTGGCAGCATTTCTTTCCTTCTCTACACAAAATTGAAAGAGGCTTCTTTTAATTCTGTGTTGAAGACACCTGGTTCTGCCTTGAGCTAACCAATGTGTTTTTCTTATGGAAATGTTTTTCTTAAGCTATGTTAATGAGACTCTGTTTTCTGCTTTGGAATCTGCCTTTGCTTCAAAATGGTTCCAGCTAAGACTAACTTTTTTCCTTTTCTCAAACCTTGGGTTGATAATGGCTCAACAAACCAGTATTCATGTCAATTATTTTATGGCCAGGGGATGACACACCTCATGCCATCCTATCTCAAAAATGCATATTGTGAAGAGCAGCCTGGTGAAACTCCCCCAGGCTTAAGGTATTTCTTTTATCTGATTAGAAGCTAACAAGCAATGGCTCAGCTAGTAAAGAATCCACCTGCAATGGGAGACCTCAGTTGGATCCCTGGGTTGGGAAGATTCCCTGGAGGAGGGAAAGGCTACCCACTGCAATATTCTGGCCTGGAGAATTCCATGAACTGTGTAGTCCATGGGGTCACAAAGAGTTGGACAAGACTGAGTGACTTTCACTTTCACTTTCAACAGACATAAAACACCTTGTTAAAAACTAGCAAGCAGGCACTCTTTCTGTCCCCTTCTGATGTTTACGTCAGAAGCTTTTCCAGTCTCTGTTATACTTTAATAAAACTTTGCTACACAAAAGGCTCCAAGTAGTCAAGCCTCGTCTCTGACCCCAAATCAAAATCCTCTCTTCTGGAGGTCACGAATCCTGGCGTAACACACAGCTCACAGCAGCAAACTTTCAGTAGCACAATCATTACCCTTATTTGACAATACTGTTTTCTACCATATTATCAGATTTTACTTTTCTCTTGCTGCTTCTTGAGAGACTGTAATTCAGTACCTCCGTTTGCAGATGGATCATTCACAACGGGGTTTCCACAAACTATTATGTGTAAAATAAGCTACAAGGATATGCTGTACACCATGGGGAATATGGTAATAGCTGTAAATGGAGTATACCCTTTGAAATTGAATCACTGTATTATATATTTAGAACTTATATAATATTATATAACAACTAGATTTCAATAATTAAAAAAAAATCTTAGCATCAGAAACAGGCTTCATCAAGTGATTTACCCTTGCTATTTAGCTATTGACATTACCCTTCAAGATCTGGTGCTTGAAGAGCTCTTCATAGTCTTATTAATAGTCTCAAGGATGCCCACAGAACAAGCTCTCACTGGGGGACTGCCTAGATCAGTCTCTGTCCTAACTGCTGGCACAGAAAGAAAAGAGCTCGGCCTGGAACCCCTCCAGGAGAAGGAATGGGAATGGGAATTGTCAACACCAGATATCAGTGTCCCAAGATGGGAGCTAGACGTTGCAGTGGGGATAGTGCTGGTCATCCGGAGGAGTCAGGCCAAGTACCATCACAGAGGATACACTTGCACGGGTTTGAGGGATGAATAGGAGCTTGCTAAACAAAGAAGCTTGGAAAGTCGACTTAGCAGGAGAGAGACCAGCATGTTTCATGGAACTGTGTGATGGGCAGGATGTTTTTGTGAAGTGTGATTTGTTATTGTGATGGGAACATAAAATCCATGAAGAAACTGAAGGAGGTAAGGCTAAAGCTCTTCTCTGAAGGATCTTGGGTCATGAGCAGGAATTTAGGTGTATCCCCGTAGGTGTTGCAGAGCCAGGAGGTCACATTTCATATGACCCTTACATGTGTGATTAAAAAGTAGAACGTTAAAACATAAGACCACATGCAGCTAATAAGTTTACTGTGAAAACTGCTGTTTGTTTTGCTCAGGGGAATGCAAGGAGCCTCTGGCTGACTTACTGAGAGTCAGCATAGAAGCTGTTTTATGCTGAAAGATTCAGATGGTAATTATTTTGTGTTGACCATTGCTGGGATAGAAGCCCTCTTTCATCTCCACAGGCCTCCTTTATGACTTAGTTAAATTCTTCTGCTTCATAACCTTGAGATTTTCATGTCACTCTGAATTTTGCAAAGGTGAGGTCTATACAAGAAGAGAGTGAGTTGCAAAAGAGTTGTGTTCCCAGTTACCTCCTAGGGCCTCCATACCCACTGTCACTTCCCTGCCGTCAAAGGTCTTCTGAATTTTGCTATCCCAGTTCATCTGACCTATTCTTCCCATTTCCACCCCCCGCATTGTGTTCGCAGGGTCCCGGGCAGCGTGTGTGGTGCCTGCACTGAAGATGGGACGTTCCGTCAGTATGTGCACACAGCTTCCTCCCGGCGCGTGTGTGACTCCTCAGGTTACTGGACTCCAGAGGAGGCTGTGGGTAAAGGACCATGGCTTTTTCATTTACACCTCGGTGGCCACTGAGAATGAGGGTGGAGGCTAAGGGTGAAGTGGTGGCAGTAAGAATAAGGTAGTGTGCGCGCATGTGTGTGTATGGTTTGCTGGAAACCTCCAGGGGTCTGCAAGAGACTCTGGCTGGGATCTTTGTGTGGATGGCCCACCTGTGATTAAGGTGGTGATGGCTGTGCTGAATCAGAGGACAGCAAGGAGGACAGAGGGAGGGAGAACTCTGGGGACGACTTCAGGAAGAGCTGGCTCAGGCACATCATGTTACGCCGCCCGCCAGCCCATGGAACAGCCTTGCCACAGGATGATGTAAGCTGATCCCGTGCCCCCATCAGGGAACACTCATGCACACTGGCTGAGCCAGCCTGGGTGGAGGTGGGGTGGACTAGGTGTCCAAACTCATCGTTCTCATCTACGCTCTTTTATGAGTCTGTTAACCTGTGGTGCTGGTTGTGCTTTGGATGTGATTTAAGCTAGGCTCTGGGAGGGGAAAATGTTTTTAGCTGTCCCCTTTTTTGTCCCTCCCCCCGACTTCTCAGCTACATATTCACTCACATACGTATATCAAAGCCTTACAGCAAATTAGGGTATGAACGCTATCCCAATTCAAGTCCCAAATATGCTATTGACATGAGTTGCAGCATCTGCTGATGAATGGCTTGACTTCTTCCATCATCACTGTCCTGTTTGGTCCATCAAACCATCATGTTTACCTAGTCATCATCTTCTCTTTTTCTTTTATTATGATTGTAAAAACAACTCATAGTCATCATCTTCTCTTTTTCTTTTATTACAATTGTAAAAACAACTCAATCAGATGTGTTGGACATGGTCCTATTTGAGTTAGTTTTCAGTCTTGACTCTGATAAGAAAAAAAGGAGAACGTTGGTCTAAGAGTCTACCATGTCCCCTTAGGCTCCCAGTTACTCAAACAACAGGAGCCTGAAGGAGGAATCTGGAGAGAGACAGTTGACCTAACTGATCGTATAGAACTTTTTTCAAATGAGTTTTCAGGGAAGAATGGAAAGTGACTATAAAATTTACATTGGCACTGCATAGGACTCATTTAGAGACTGGCATTTCATAAAAGGCCATTCTCGTGGCAAACAGTTTGTCCTGTGCTAGAGTTTTAGTGCCTATTTGACTGTCTGGCCCTGTACTTTTTCCTTTTTAATTCTTGGAAAAATTTAAAGTTATCTGGTAGAGGTGAAAGGAATTAGAAGTTCTGGGTTCTAACTCTTGTATTGTGTCTCCAGGCAAACCTAATTAGCTTTTAGGGCCTCCACTCCATCTTTTCACATGAGATCATAATAAAAACTTTCTGACAGATAGTGCTACTATTGAGGAGTTGCCTTCCAAGGGCCTGCAGTCTGCTAGTATTTGGGGATGACTATTGGAAAATACTGCTGGGAAATACTGGTATTCCTTTGTTTTGAACAGGTGAAGAATCAAGTCATATTTTAAATATAGAAAATGAATTGACTCCCTAGCAGAACATACACAAACATATATAATTAGAGATATGATCAAAATGTATTTAATGACACATTGGACAGTTATTGATCACCATCTACATCCTGAGTGCTATGAAGAATAGAAAATCGAACCAGACATATTCACTGCTTAAGTATCATCTTTTTGGAGAGAATTTCCCTGGCTGTATGATCTAAAATAGCCCCCAGTCTCACCCCATCATTCTGTACTCCTTTTTCCTCCTTTATCTTTCTTCAGAGAGGACATTACCACTTGGAATTATACCTCTTTATTTACTGTTGCACCTTTCACCCTATGGTAAGATATATGTGGTCAGTACCTTTATCTTGTTCATTACTCAATCTCTGATACCTAGATTAGTGCTAGATGTAAAAGAGATATACAGTCAATTTGTATTGAATTAATGAATGAATGGATGGATTCACAATATAGGGAAAAAACAATAGGGGTCGAAAGATGTAACACACACACATTTGAGCTTATTTCCTCTGGGATTTGGAATATTGGTTTCCAAATCCTGAAGGGCTAAATCATTCTATTTTTGCACATATAGTTTGCAGATATTTCTATGAAACATCATACAGCTCTTCTATACTAAGTAAGCGAAAGTGAAAGTGAAGGTCGCTCAGTTGTGTCTGACTCTTTTTGACCCTGTGGACTATACAGTCCATGGAATTCTCCAGGTCAGAATACTGGAGCGGGTAGCCTTTCCCTTCTCCAGGGGATCTTCCCAACCCAGGGATCAAACCCGTGTCTCCCACACTGCAGGCAGATTCTTTACCAGCTGAGCCACCAGGGATTAGTCAGTAAGGCAGGGGTTAAATAGTCCTTATTTTATAAATGAGGACACTGAGGCTTAGAGAGACTGGCCACAGTCACACAGATAATGCACAGCACCAAGTAGAGCCTAACTACGGTTTTTTAATTTAGCAGTTTTCTTTTAATTCCGCTTGTGTGATATAAAAGGAAACCACCTTGTATATAGATTATTTCCACAGAGATGACCTTAATATGTTAGTGACATTTGATTTTTCACCTTTGCATTTTTGGCTCCCGGGCTACTGAATCTCCTTTTTCTTCTACTTAAGAAAAGTGTTTCTATTTCCCACGAGCAGTTTTCTGATCTCCTGACTTACACATATCTGAACGAAAGGGGAAATTTCAGTGTCTGGCTTTAAAGTTTGACTTACAGTCCTTTGGAAGGCTTGTTAAGGTATGATCTTAGGGCGTCAAAGTTTTGTGAAGAGCCTAGTCAAACAGAGTAGCAACAGCCTGAAACAAACATTGGCCTTATTAATAAAACAGGGCTTCAGAAGCATTACTTTATCATAAATTATTAATAAACTAAGTACAAATAATTCTCCTCGGCTCAAGGATTCTGTTTTTAATTTTTTTTTAAGTTTTAAATTTATTTATTTATTTATTTATTTTTGGCTGTGCTGGGTCTTCACTGCTGCATGTGGGATTTCTCTAGTTGCAGCGAGCAGGGTATACTCTTTGATGTGGTGCTCAGGCTTCTCATTGCATTGGCTTCTCCTGTTGCAAAGCTTGATTCTAGAGCATGGGCTGAGTAGTTGCGGCTCATGGGTTTAGTCGTGCCACAGTATATGGAATCTTCCCCAGCCAGGGATTGAACCTGTGTCCCTGCATTGGCAGGCAGACTCTTAAGCCCTAGACCACCAGGGAAGTCCTGCTCAAGGATTCTTTGGGGCTTACCTTATCTCCATCAGCCTCCTGTTTCCACTTAGGATCGGGGTCACTCCATTCCCAGTGCCATGCTGGGTTTCTCTTGTTAAAGGGCACCAGATAGAGGTGATTTGGAGCATAATGCTTTAGAATTGTTAGAGCTTTATCTTCAGTAAGGGCTTCCTAGGTGGCTCAAGGGGTAAAGAATCCACCTGCCCAAGAAAGGAGATGCTGGAGACACAGGTTTGATCCCTGGATCAGGAAGATTCCCTGGAGGAGGAAATGGCAACCCACTCCAGTATTATTGCTGGGAAAATCCCCCAAGCTACTAAGCTGACAAGTTCCTATAAGAATATGCTCAAAGAATATGCTCAAAGTTCTCTTCTTCTTCTGACTCTTCTTCTCTCCTGACTATTGATAGGGATGACTCACTTTCAGATTTTTATTGGTGGTTTCTGATGCATCTTTCTTTCTGCTCATCTCCCTCAGGCCCTCCAGACGTGGATCAACCTTGTGAGCCGAGTTTGCAGGCCTGGAGTCCCGAGCTCCACCTATACCACATGAACATGACGGTCCCCTGCCCTGCGGAAGGCTGTAGCCTGGAGCTGCTCTTTCAGCACCCGGTTCAAGCTGACACTCTCACCCTATGGGTCACCTACCTCTCCATGGACTCCTCCCCAGCGCTCTTTGACACGGAGATCTTGCTGGAACACCAGAAGTCTGTGCACTTGGGCCCTTTGGACACTTTCTGTGATGTACCGCTCACTATCAAGCTGCATGTTGATGGGAAGGTCGTGGGGGTGAAAGTCTACACCTTTGATGAGCGGATGGAGATTGATGCAGCTCTCCTGACTTCTCAACCCCACAGTCCGTTGTGTTCTGGCTGCAGGCCTGTGAGGTACCAGGTTCTCCGTGAGCCCCCATTTGCCAGTGGCTTGCCTGTGGTGGTGATGCATCCTCAGCGGAAGTTCACAGACATGTGAGTTGGGCAGCAGGGCTTTCTAAACCATGGGGCCTCCTGTGGCTTTGGGAGTGGATTTTACTTCCTTTTTCTTTGTTGTGTTTTTGTTTTATTTTACATTCCAACATGCCCTTATTTGGAGAAACATTCAGACCCTCAGAGGGGATTTTATTCTAAAGTGGCGTCTCTGCGATGAACAAAAATATTTCCCAGAAAGGGAAAGTAGATGACCTGATTGATGATGTCATCATTATGATTCTAGACAAAAGAGGTCCATGAATGATATGTTGCTCTCCCCTGGTGGCTCAGATGATAAAGAATCCACCTGCAATACAGGAGACCTGGGTTCAATCCCTGGGTCAGGAAGATCCTCTGGAGAAGGACATGGCAACCCACTTTAGTATTCTTGCCTAGAGAATCCCTAGGACAGAGGAGCCTTGCAGGCTACAGTGCACAGATTGCAAAGAGTCAGATGCAACATGCATGCATGTTTCAGTTGGGCTGAAAGTAATTGCCAGAAATAAGTTGATCAGAGTCAGATACTCCTATCTGGTGACACCATCTAATTTTTGATCTTTGCTGCAACTTTTAAATAATCTGCCACAGCTCCTATATCATTTAAAGGTTATAGTCACCTCTTCCACAGCTAAGTAGAAAAGCCAAGGGCTCCTGAAACACTATACTTTTATGACTTTCATTTTTCATTCTTCCCTTATTTCCTCCCTCCCTCTCTCTTTCCTTCTCTTTCTCTTTTTTTCTGTTCTTCCTACATTTAGTGAGTTCTTAAGTGTTCCTGGCACTGTGAGCTCAGTGCAGGGGACACAGACTAAGATAAGATCATTGGCTTAGAGTTCAAGAGTAGGAGGCTGGTATCTCCAAAGGCAAATTTTCCTCACCTCATAATTTTTTCAGAGGCTGCCCTGAGGGCAGAACTCTGGGTAAAACAAAAGTTTTATCAGAGGTACTGTATTGGTTAGTTTTTGCCACATTAGAAATCATCACAAAACATAGTGGTTTAAAACAACAAACACATTTCTCATGGTTCTGTGTGTTGGCTGGGTGCACTCATCTGGACCAGCCTGACCAAGGCTATATGGCCCCAGATGACCTCATGCACACATGAGGCTCAGGGAATATGCTGGCCTGGCTGGGAGGAGGAAGTTCTCTTTCCACATCTCTCCTTCACTGGGAGGCTTTGCCTGGGTTTGTCCTCATGGTGCTTTGCTGTGGTCAGCCGCTTCAGTCATATCTGACTCTTTGCAACCCTATGGACTATAGACTGCCAGGTTCCTCTGTCCATGGGATTCTCCAGGCAAGATTACTGGAGTGGGTTGCCCTTTCCTTCTCCAGGAGATCTTCCCCGTCCAGGGATGGAACCTGCATCTCTTATGTCTCCGGCATTGGTGGGCGGCTTCTTTACCATTCATGTCACCCAGGAAGTCCTCATGGTGGTAGAAGGCTTTCCAGAAGCAGGAAGGGCAAGTCCCCAAATTCTCATACTTTTCAGGCCTCTGCTTACATCACTCATGATACCATTTCACTAGCCAAAACAGGTCACAAAGAATTTGAGATTCTGGAGGTGACAAAATTGATTCTATCTCTTAATGAGAGAAACAGTAAAGTCACATCACAGAAGCACACACATCTGGGATGGGAAGAATTTGTGGCCACTTTTCACTCTGCCATAGCTACAAATGAGCCAAGAAAAGTGTTCACCTTGAATTTTACTGCATTTTTCCTCCCATACTTGCTCTCTGAATTAGAACTAGAAGGTAGTAAAATGGTCAAAAAGCTCGTGCAAATGGGAGGATAGATCATGGGACAGGTCTGAAAAGAAAAAATGTTCTTTGGGGGGACTTTCTTTAGTAAGCCAATTAAAATGATATTTGTTACCTTTTAAAATAATTTATTATTGTTATTTTTGTTACATTTAGTAAGTCAAGTTTTGTGTTGCCTCATCATGATTTTCAAAATATGAGCTATTTAATGATATTTGTTATCTAACTTGACATACTCACATTCTCACACATACGCTGACACAAAAAACATTTAAGGATAATAATATTCTATTTTATAGATGAGAGAACTAAGACTAACTTTAATTTTGTTGAACAGAGCTAGCAAGTGGCAAACTCAGGATTAAAATCCAATTTTCTGACTGAATCTCATTTTGGTTCTTTAGTAACACATTACTTTTACAAACTCAGCTCATTGAAGATTGGGGCTACCTGCTGCTGAATTTTCTCCCCAAGAAGCGTAAACATGTCCTGATGCTTCTTTCCAACCCTTTCCCAGCTAGAGATCAGTGTAAGACTTTTATGCATGGCTGGATGAGAAGTCAGACAGAAACCTCCCTGTGAAAGGGAAGCCATCAGAATTGATTAAGATATAAAACTTGTTTTGCTTTTGAAATACCTGGCACTCTTATGAAAAGAGTGCTTCCCTGCAGAAAACTAATTTGGAAATTTCAAAATCTTAAATATTTAGGTGTCTTTGCTATTAAAATAACTAAAAACCAGTACAGAGATGTTTAAAGGTGTTTTTGAAACCCCACGACATTTCCTGTTTGCTGCTTGCAGCATCAAGCAAAAGAGTAGAAGCTTTGTGGTTGAGTTGAAGAGTGTGTTAAAGAAGAGAGGGCTTTGGTAGGATATCTGTGGGTACCACTTGTGGGAGAACCAATAGCCCTTTGAGATCCTATTCTCCTAAGTCACTCCCATTCTAGCGTGGCTCTAGTGGTACTTTTCCAATTAGGGCAAGCGTTGGATAAAAGTTAAGTTGAAGGCAGAATTCATCTTTGGAATCAGCAGTTCCCCTCCAACCCCCACACCACTGGCCCTTAGCTCCTTCCCCCTTGCAAATGTTCAGTCTCTCACATTCTTCACTTGATCAGTGCTCTTGGGCTCTAGATAGTCTGATAAACTCCTTCCATCTCTGGTGCCAATTGATAAAACTCATTCCTGGTTTATATGTATGTTGGAGCCGGGGAGTCATTTAATGCCTTTCCAGTGGTGGAATTTTTTGCATCCCTAAAATAAGGATGGAAGATTTCCTCATCTCCTTCTAGGAGAAAGGTGCTTTTCCTCATAAGAATTCAATCTCCTCAAGACAAGAATTCTCTTGAGAGACAAGAAGACTGTGATTCATGGACCCAAGAAGGGCCTTGCTGAGCCCAAACTCTGAAGCATTCATCTTCAGCTTTACAATCATTTCAATGCTACAGAGGGGCCTTCCAAGTGGTGCTAGTGGTAAAGAACCCACCTGCCAACTAAGGAGACTTGAGACGCAGGTCCGATCCCTGGGTCAGGAAGATCCCCTGGAGGAGGGCACAGTAGCCCACCCCAGTGTTCTTGCCTGGAGAATTCCATGGACAGAGGAGCCTGGTGGGCTATGGTCCATAGAGTCACAAAGAGGTGGACATGACTGAAGCAACTTAGCATGTATGCACACATGCAGTGATATAGAAGACTAGGTTTTCAAAGTTGGTGGTTTTGTGTGTGTGTGTTTGTGTAACATGGTAAAGATATGCTCGAAATACCATCCTCCTAGATTGTGTAGGACTGTTAGCTGGTTCAGCATTCACTCAGCAATCACATACATTCGCTACGTAGAAGGTTCTGGGAATACAGAGATGAATACAGTTTTAAATGCTCTGTAAGACTATATGCCCTGCTCTTGGTTTTAAACAACATGGCATATGTTTAACATTTATATTCCCTGTAATATTTATTTAAAATTCCTGCACACCATCTGAAAAAGACCCAGGGCCTGCTCCACTTCCTGGATGTATGGTTACGGCCTGTTGATTTCCACAGGGAGGTCATGCCTGGGCAGATGTACCGGTACCAAGTTCAAGCTGCAGCTGGAGCAGAACTGGGAGAAGCTTCACCTCCTCTGAGCCACATCCATGGAGCTCCTTACTGTGGAGATGGGAAGGTTGCAAGGTGAGGACATACCGTGTGCCTTGGACTGGGTGACAGAGGATGTCCCGCCTTGCTCGGACCATGAGGGTTTGCCTTGAGGCTGATTTGGGAGGGGAAAGGGGCAAGGCACTGTGTGATTCTGGTATTGAACAAAATCTGGGACCTGGTTGTGATCTTGAGGGGTCATTCACATCTCTACATAGTTAAGGATGGACCCACTTTAATTTAGTACCAAGATATTGGGGCTGATTCTGTGGGGGTCTTCTTCAGGTTTCAGAGAACAAGTGCTGGACAGTGATTCAGGGAAGGAATTCATGGTGGAGAAGGTTATTTCCAAATGATGCTAAAAGAGGATGTGAGGGTATCTTTTGGATCAGTTGCCTGTCTTATGACCCAAGGAAAATCACTATAGCTTTATGAGCTTCAGTTGCTCATTTGATCCCTGGAATACCTCATTGCAATGCAATTTACAGCTATTCTATAAAATCACCAAGGTAAAAATGAAATCACTCCCTTGATTTCTTAACATACCACCTTCCTTTTCCTGTTGCCCTTTAGTTAGTTAGTTATTTCAGTCTCTCAGTTGTGTCTGACTCTTTGCGACCCCATGGACTGTAGCATGCCAAGCTTCCCTGTCCATCACCAACTTCCTGAGCTTGCTCAGACTCATTTCCATAAAGTCAGTGATGCCATCCAACCATCTCATCCTCTGTTGTCCCCTTCTCCCCCACCTTCAATCTCTCCCAGCATCAGGGTCTTTTCCAATGAGTCAGTTCTTCACATCAGGTGGTCAAAGTATTGGAGCTTCAGCGTCAGTCCTTCCATAGAGTATTCAGGACTGATTTTCTCTAAGATTGACTGGTTTGATCTCCTTGCAGCCCAAGAGATTCCCAGGAGTCTTCTCCAACACCGCAGTTCAAAAGCATCAATTCTTCAGTGCTCAGCTTTCTTTATGGCCTTTCTCTATACCCTTTAGTGATATCAACCTAGTTCATTCTGATTTGCCAGGCAGTTGCCAAAATTTGTCACTGAATACTCCCATGTTCCAGTGACCATCCTATATTAACGTCCAAATGCTCAGCTCACCTAATATGTTGTTTATATAAAGCTGCTAGGAGTAAAAGAGTGGAAGCCCAGGTACTATAATTTGTCTTAGAGTCTGTATCCTAGTAAGATGGCTTGTTTTTAGCTTTCCAGATCAAGTAAAAATATCTTGTATCTTGAAGGCCTAATTGAAAGCAATCTATAACCTTTCTTGGGGTTTTATCCCATTGTTTAGCAATTACTAAATATTGTTTGTCTTCTCAGTCTTCTAATTCTTAAGCTTTAGTGTAAGTCTACTCCTTTTCATAGTAGTATAAACACCAAATGTTCCCAGACTTCAGAAATACATCCAAGAGACTAAGATCCCTTTAATACCCAAACCTTGCTAGTTTGCTGCCACCTTCTGCCTCAGTCTCAGCTTATCCTTTCTCCCCCTCCATCTCAATTAAATATCTCCCTGTGAAACCATTAGGTGACATTTCAGGGGCTCAGAAGAGCTCCAGTACCACAGTCCTTTATGTCTCAGCAAAGAAAAGAATTCAGCGAGAGGCAAAGTGATAGATAAGAAGTGATTTATTAGATTAGGACGCTTGTGAGATTTACAAGCTGGTGAGGGTCAGTGGCAGCGGGCAGTGGTGGTAAAGGTTCTCAACCAGAGAACTTACTGGGCTACAGTTTTATAATCAAAGGAAAAGTGGGGAGGGGGAGAAGAACTTCTTTGTCTTTCTTGAGTAGACGTCACGCTTCCATCATCAACTCCTCCTCCTGGTTGAGCAGGGGAGTTTTCTTGTCCCTACTTGTTCAAACTAGGTCTGCAAAGTATTATTTTTCTTGTGTGCAGAGGGCATGTCCTGGGGATAATTAACTTACTGAGCTCACTGGGCAGGATGTGGGTCTCATGACAACACTTATTTGATCATTTGGGGGCAATGTCTCGTGCTTCTGTTGCATGATTTTGTTGCTAAGCAAGCCAGCTTGGTTTTGTGGTTAAGTAAACCTGCTCTACTGAGTAATCATTAACTTACAGGGGTCACCCATATTTTTATGCATACAATCCCCTAGTGGGATTAACTATTTAAACATCCAACTTTGTCCCTACTCTGAGCTTCCCTGCTGGCTTAGACAGTAAAGCGCCTGCCTGCAATGTGGGAAGCCTAGGTTTGATCCCTGGATCAAGATCTCCTGGAGAAGGCAAGGGCAACCCACCCCAGTAGTCTTGCCTGGAAAATTCCATGGATGGAGGAGCCTGGAGGGCTACAGTCCATGGGGTCGCAAAGAGTTGGACACAACTGAATGACTTCACTTTCACTTTTGTCCCTATCACCTAGAGATGACTTGTGTGCACAGAACAAATCTGGTTGTTGTTGATGTTTTCCATGGCTACCTCATTTTAACCTGCTACCCACTGATTAAGGCGTCTGCGGGACTAGGTGACCATTACTACCCAAACAGAGCCCTCCTTGAACAAAACAGTTGATCTTATGTTGTAGCATCTCCTACAGCAGTCCTCCAATGAAGGTTCTGATGTCCCAGGATGCCACATCTGCCTGGGGTTCTGGGGCTGAACAAGATAAGGGCTGTCTTCCTAGTCTGACATTGTACATTCTAGCCTGGGCTTTGAAACAGCTTCATCTGTAGTGACACCTGCTTGGCTGCTGGGCTTCACAAAGCTCCTTATCAAATGTTCCTTTAAACTGTGCCTATATCGCCTCTCTATAGAGTGTCATACTTTGTGCTTGCAACATTGGAAGGCCCTGCCTGCCAATGCAGGAGACATGGTTCATGGGTTCATGGGAGATCATGGGATCCCTGATCTGGGAAGATCCCATATGCCTCAGAGCAACTAAGGCCATGTGCCACAACTATTGAGCCTGTGCTCTGGATCCTGGGAGCTGCAACTATTGAAGCCCTCGCACCCTAGACCCTGTGCTATACAGTGAAAGAAGCCACTGCAATGAGAAACCCACACACCACAACCAGAGAGGCCCCTGCTCCCTGAAACTAGAGAAAAGCCGGCACAGCAACCAAAACTAACTAACTAAATAAATATTTTTAAAATGATGTTAATTAACTAAAAGAGAAAAATCATTTTATGTATACAAGTGTGTATGTTTGTATATCAGAATGTATACTTTTACCTTGTAGGAACCTGGGAGAAGAGTGTGATGATGGAGACCTTTTGAATGGAGACGGCTGCTCAAGGGCATGTGAATTAGAGGAAGGTTTCAACTGTGTAGGTGAGTTTAGGAGCACCTGCTCAGGCTTATGTCCTATGTTTGGAGATGTCTCTGAGCTCTTGATGAGACAAGATGAGCTTGATATCAAGCTTGATATCAAGATGAGCTCTTGATATCTGGCAATGTGTAATTTAGTGGTAATAACAATAGCATTTTCTATGTATATTGTGTGCCTGGCACTAACTGTTTCACATATATTATCCTGTTTAATCCCTACAATAAATATAAGGAGACTAAACAGAGTCACAGAGAGCTTAAATAACTTGCTTTCTCTTACACAACTGGCAGTGATGAAATCAGGATTTGAACCAGGGAGGCAAATCCACATGTTAAACTACTAAATTACCCAGCCTCCTAGATTAATGTTACCAAAGATTGCCCTTGGGTCCTCACGTCTAACATCAGACTGTCAGCCAAGTAGCACAATCACAGATTCAACATAAAAATTATGGTGGGACATGTTTTAAGCCAAAGAGAGTACAAGATATCTCTTGGTGTCTGTGTTTAGTAGATAAGATTATGAAGAGTGATACACAGCATTTCTTAATCCTGAAAAGTCACTGATAATAAGTTATTGCTAGCTGCCATTGACTCTAGACTCTTGCCACACAGGAAGGCCCTCCAGAACACTTCTCCTGACTTTGATTAAAGCCATCAACAGGATTCTTTGCAGATTATTTTTTCATTCCTATGAGCATGCATGCTTAGTTGCTCAGTCAGGTCCAACTCTTTGTGACCCCATGGACTGTTGCCCGCCAGGCTCCTCTGTCCATGGAATTCTCCAGGCACATTGGATTGAGTAGCCTTTCCCTTCTCCAGGAGATCTTCCCGACCCAGGGATCGAATCTGGGTCTTCTGCATTGCAGGCAGATTCTTTACCATCTGAGCTATCAGGAAAGCCCTCCTAGGTGCATTCTGTTCAGTTCAGTAGCTCAGTCGTGCCTGACTCTTTGTGACACCATGAACCGCAGCAAACCAAATCTTTGTGCACACATTGAAGTAATTCTGTGGCACATATTTACTCATCAAAGTTATTTTTAAAAGCAGTGCATTTAACAATATTTTAATGTTTCTAAATTTCAAGATAAAGTTGGATGTGATTATAATTATGCATAATTTATTCAGGTATTAAATACTATAAGAACACACAAATGCTCCTGCTTTCCTGAGCAGAATAATAAAATTATAAAATCTTAGTGGTCTTACATCTATCCATATAACAAAATGTGTTCAGTGCCCTCTATATACCACAAGTCTCATAGAGACCCTGATCCCTTCATATGTCCAGCCTCTTTCCCTTATAGAAATTGCTATATCAGTTCTCAAACTTTTCTCACATGCATCTAGCAGTAAAGATTGCACCTTGAAAGACCATTCTGTTTAAAAGTGACTTTATCTATTGTAAAATTCTTCTCCCCCTTTCTGGTTTGGAAACTGATGTTCAGGGCATTTTAGTGACTTGTCCATGGGCATATAATGAGGTGTCTACAAAGCCAGTGTTGGAACTCAGCTTTCCTAATTCTTAATCAAGTGCTTTTTCCTTGCTATGAAACTACAGAGGATACATTTTTTTTCCTGTTTTATTTGACTACCATTCACATATTTGAAATGCCTCCCCATTATTCTCCTTTCCAGTCCAAACATCCCCTCATGTGATTAGGTTTCCAGGCCCTTTCCTATTTACCCTAACTTGGCATGCTTCCTGTGGTCAATGCCCAGAAAGGAATTCAATACTCCAGATGTGGTCTGGCTGTGTAAAATACACTGAACCGATTACCTCCCCTCTTCTGTACACAAGTATTTGTTAATGCCATCTCTGTTTGCATCATTCCTTTTTTCGCATCATGGGCTCATGATACATGTACACACACACATACAAACACACACACAGCCTTCGCCACTGCAGTTCATCTCATCTAACTTAAAAGTGGACCTGACTTTGTTTCCATCACATTTCATTCCATTAAATTTGTTCATATTTCTTTACCCTCCAACTCCAGGAAGATCATCGTTAAATTATTTTAGCTTTACATGGCAAAGTTAAAATGGTCTATTCCACAGCTAGATATTTATTTCAGTTAGTAATATGCTCATAGTATTTAGTTCTATATAGTTCTAAAGCTCATAGTGTATGCTAAGCATATAGTTCTATTCAATCATTTCTCAAGAGACTAAGTTTGAAGGAACCATTGTGAAATGTGTTATAAAAGTGGTCTGCTATTTTTGCATTGATTTGAAGAAAAAGAAGCAAAATTTTTAAGTTGACGGTAAACAAAAAATAGAGAAGAAGCAAGGAGAGACTGTCATTGGATTATATAGAAAAACAAGACATGTATATATATGTATATTATAAAAATATGTCATAAAGTATGCATTATAAAACAAACACATGCATATGTACATATGTATACATTTAAATATGCACAAACACACATATAAAACTACATACATGCATATATATGTATATATGTATGTGTGTATATAATATACAAACGTAAACTATACATGCATGTATATGTACATGTGTGTATATGTGTTCCATATATATATATGTACGTATGTATGTAAGCCTTTGACTGTGTGGATCACAATAAACTGTGGAAAACTCTGAAAGAGATGGGAATACCAGACTACCTGACCTGCCTCTTAAGAGACCTATATGCAGGTCAGGAAGCCACAGTTAGAACTGGACATGGACCAACAGACTGGTTCCAAATAGAAAAAGGAGTACATAAAGGCTGTATATTGTCACCCTGCTTATTTAACTTATATGCTGAGTATATCATGAGAAACGCTGGGCTGGAAGAAGCACAACCTTGGACTGCAAGGAGATCCAACCAGTCCATCCTAAAGGAGATCAGTCCTGGGTGTTCACTGGAAGGACTGATGTTGAAGCTGAAACTCCAATAGTTTGGCCACCTCATGCGAAGAGTTGACTCATTGGAAAAGACCCTGATGGTTGGAGGGATTGGGGGCAGGAGGAGAAGAGGACAGCAGAAGATGAGATGGCTGGATGGCATCACTGACTCGATGGACATGAGTTTGAGTAAACTCTGGGAGTTGGTGTTGGACAGGGATGCCTGGCGTGCTGTGATTCATAGGATCGCAATGAGTCGGACACGACTGAGCAACTGAACTGAGCTGAACTGATATATATATATATGGAATCATCATGGAAAAGTCATTCCAAATACACATATATTGGCTTTGGGGAGTAACTTAGAAAGGCCTTGGATTTAATGGCATACAGGAGTTCAAAACCCAAAATAGGCTCAGAACCAAGTCCTCGGAGCAGGAGCATACTCCTGGCAAGTAGAGATAGATTTACTAGAGAAGGGTCTCTGACTTGAAGAAATTATTAAGGAAAATAATTAGTAATTACATGTTGATAAACAGCTGAAAAATTACTGAAACAGTCCTGTGGTATTTCTGTAAAGAATTTAAAATTAAAAGAATGGAATAGTAACAGTTAATTTTAGTGATGTTACTGAATGTGTACCTATGCATGCTTGCATGCTAAGTTGCTCTATTTGTGTCTGACTCTTTGTGACCCTACGTACTATAGCCTGCCAGGCTCCTTTGTCCAAGGGATTCTCTAGGGAAGAATGCTGGAGTGGGTTGCCATGACCTTCTCCAGGGGATCTTCCCAACCCAGGGATCACATTGGTGCCTTTTATATCTCCTGCATTGGCAGGTGGGTTCTTTACCACTAGTGCCACCTGGAAAGCCCATGTACCTATGGGTTGAGCTATTTTAAATTTTGATCTTAATTTCATGTCCTATTATTTTAGGTAGAAATGAAGAATTAGAATTGTGTTACTAATAGGGGTAGACAGGGCAATAATACTAAATAAATGGCTTTATAACTGCATCTCAGTTTTTTTACATTTGAAGAAAGCTAAGTTATATATCAAACAGCTCAGGGGGTAAAGAATCTGCCTGCAATGCAGGAGACACAGGAGACATGGGTTTGATTCCTGGGCCGTGACCATCCCCTAGAACGGCAACCCACTCCATATGGACCATGGACAGAGGAGCCTATTTGGACAGAGCAGGCTACAGTCCATAGGGTCACCAAGAGTTGGACATGACTGAAGTGACTGAGCACACACATAGTTTACATGTCTATAGTTAGTACAGACTATAAACTTAGTAGAAGTTATCCTACGAGCAAGTAAGGACCTTGTCCAAGGAATTGTAGCTTGCTTTACAGGCCCAGTGATTCTTCTCATATATTCATTACTCACATATTTGCTCTTGAAGACAGTCTCTCTGCCTTGGTTGAGGTACCGTGGAGTAAGAGAAAGCCCCTGAACCTGCTTTCTGTAAGCCTGGCTCAAAGCCAAGCAATATTGCTTCTGCATCAAGGGAACTTTGACAAGTCACTTACAATCATGGAGTCTCAGATTGTCTATTGATGAAACAAACAAAAAATACATACCTCACATGGTTCTTGTAAGACTAAAAGAAATAATACATATGTAACCCTTATAAACCTAGAGCCCATATTGTCCATTTCAGAGTAAATTGCATGGTTAATTGAAGAAATACAGCAGCAAAAAAGTAATTGGAAACAAATCCCTCAAATGTTTTATTTAAAATTTTAAAGACTATGAAGAGGTTCCAAGTACATATCATATCCTACCATCCATTTAAATTTCCTTTATTCTTTTACCCACTTCTCTTATATCCCTCGCTTCCCCTAGTACTTTGCTCAATGATTCCTTAAAGTTTCTTTCTATATCCATCCCACAGCTGCTTTTTTCCTTCCTGTTCCTTCTCCTCTAACCCCACTCACTTTGTAGATTTTTTGTTATCTCAATGGATTTTATCACTCTCCCCATGAAAAATTATCCTTCTTTAGGGGTATGATATCTATATGTTTGAGGTGGGCATTAGACTGGTTAGTAATTACAGGATTCTCTTTAGCAGCTGGAGTAAAAATGTAATTATTTTTACTTGACACATATAAAAGTACCTTTTCAAATGTCATATAATGTTTCTTGACAGGGGAACCAAGCCTGTGCTATATATATGAGGGAGATGGAATATGTGAGCCTTTTGAAAAGGAAACCAGCATTGTAGACTGTGGCCTCTATACTCCCAGAGGATATCTGGATCAGTGGGCTACCCAAGCTTTTTCTTCTCATGAAGACAAGAAGAAATGTCCTGTTTCCTTGGTCACTGGAGCACCTCATTCCATGGTAAGTTAAGACTAGTCAAGGGTAAGCAAAATTGTTAAGTGATTCCCCCAGATACTGACCTTGAGCTTACATTTTTTTCTCCTAACTTTGACACCAAATTTAGTTAACAAACTCAGAATTAAATAATGTTAAATGAAAAGCTTCTAGGCTATCAATTAAGTCTCATCCCCCACCCTCACCCCACTTACCTTCACTAGTTTTCATCTAGGAACCTTTAACTATGCAATAACTGACCAAAAGGTACACAAAAGCATCTCAAAATTAGCCTTATAATATACACATCAGAAATTGCACTTAGGCTTTGCATTTGGAAGAATTTATCTTGAAAGAAGATAAAGGAGCAGTAAAGTCAGAATACTTGGATGACACTGTTGGATCTATCAGTATCATTATGATTATTACTAAGTGACATTTGGCAAGTCACTTAACCTCTCTGGGCTCCAATTTTCTCATATGTAAATCTTTCGCATTTAACTCAAGGTTTGTTGCAAGGATCAAATGAAATTTAAAATATATATTAAAGATCAAAATATAATTTGATTTAAAAATTATTGTTATTAAAGACTTTCTAGATTTAGTACTAAAATCAAATCCATAGGCACACAATTTTCCATGAATATCTACCTAAGTAAATAGAAGATCCTCTGAGAACTTTGAGGACTGACTTCTGTGAGTTATAAATACCTAAAAGAAGATTAAGTGAAAAAAGTGAAAGTGTTAATTGTTCAGTTGTGTCCGACTCTTTGCGACCCCATGGACTGTAGCCCACTGGGCTCCTCTTTCCATGGGATTCCCCAGGCAAGAACACTGGAGTGGGTTGCTATTCCCTCCTCCAGGGGATCTTCCCAACCCAGGGATAGAACCTGGTTCTCCTGCATTGCAGGTGGATTCTTTACTGTTTTAGCCATCAGGAAAGCTCAAAGATTAAGGGCTTTGCTTTCTGAATACTATTCTAGATGTTTCCATTGCCAAATATACTCTTCCATGCTTTATAACAATAAGTAATACAGTCATTTTGACAGAAGTAAGATTTGTTAATAGCTCTCTAGGTATTTTAGGCCAGAGGCAAATCATTGGTTTTTGGTCTTGAGGAGACACCCCAGGAGACTGAGGAACTAGCCAAGGCTGGTGGTCCAGGTCAAGGAACTCATCAAGGACCCACGTGTCTCTGAGATTTTGGCTCTTTCTACACTTTACTTGCAGTTTTCTTTCTCAAGCTCATAAGATGACTACTGCCCTCCAGGTGTGAAGTCAATATTTCAAGCAGGAAGAAGGGGGAAGGTCAAAGGGAAATAGATGCATGTGAGCTGAGTCTGTTTTTAGTGGGAAAATGGGAGCTGTTCCAGGAATATAGGCATCTACCATTGTTCAGATCCAGGTCACTTCACCAGCCTTAGTTGTAAGGGGCCCTGAGGAGATGAGAGTTTATAGCTGGATACGCTGTCACCTTGAACAAGATTAGAGTTCATTAATAAGAAAGAGGGAGGTATGGATATGGACAGCCAATTAGCATGCCTGTCTCACTTCTTTAGCTAATTTTGAAGGCATCTTTCTCAAGAATTCTGATGCCCAGTGGTGGGAAGTTAGGTGATTCTGAGTTAGTAACAGCTCTCTAAAGCAGCTTTTAGTCTAGCTTGTCTGTCTTCCCCAAGTGAAGTGGGAAAATTTTTCTGGAATTTCTCTTTCCTGGTTCCTTTTCCCAACCTAGTATTTCCTTGACTCAGTTGTCTCACTGCTGGGGCAGTAGATCCTTCCTGGTAAGGACAGAATCATCATCTTGGACAGGGGTCCCTAACTAATCCTAGGAGCAGTTGACTGATATGTCCCAGGATAATTCATTGAGCAAGATCCCTGGACCATTGATGGGCCATAAATTGTCACGTGTGTTCTTCTACCTGGTAAGTTGGATATTGAGGCTAAGAGAGAGCACTGAGACATTCTACCTTGAGAAAAGTTTTCTGCCAATAATGTCATCATGAGATATTCAGAAAGAGGAAAACATTGGTTTTGAGCTGGGAGTTTCATTATCTTTACTTATCTCTCACCCTTCATGTTTAATTTTTGGTTGAAATTGCATTTCAGGTTTGCACATCATACCATCCAGATTTACCAGAGCACCATCCCCTAATTGGCTGGTTTCCCTGCGTCCCCAGTGGAAATAGACCTGAAGATGAAGGGAGTAAGCAGCCAAAAGGTAGCCTGCAGAGAGAGGATGAGGTTTGGCTCAAAGTAAGTGACCCAAATGTTTTTTAGTGAAAACTGGATAGACTGTGCTTGTTTGTGTGTGTGTGTGTGTGTGTGTGTGTGTGTGTGTGTGTATGTGTATAAATGATACATTGGAATGTCAGGAAATTTCCTTTTGTCATCTGAAAGTTTTTATGTTTTGAATTTATTTTCATTTCTTTTTGAATGTTGAACTTTTCTTTATAAGAAATCACTCTATCAAAGTGTAATACTCATATAGAAAAGTACAAAAATCAGAAATGACTGATAAATTTTTACAAAGTAAACATCCTCTCTAACCACTACAGAGATCAAAAAACAGAAAATTAACATCACCCCCAAAAGGCTCTCTCATTCCCCCTCTCATTATACTACAGAGGTATCTAGTATTTTTCCTTCTATCACCAAAGATTAGTTTTGCCTGTTTGTATTTTATCTGAAAAATTTGACAGTCTGTAGTATTTGTGCTGATTCTTTCTTACTCAGCATTCTATCTGTGGGATTCATTCAGGCTGCTCTACTTAGAAGCAGTGTTCATGTCCACTGCGGTGCAGAATTCCAGTGGGCCAATGGGCCATACTTTAATTAATCATAGTAATGAACCTTTAGTTTATTTCTAATTTTTCTCTATTGTATATTACAAATAGTTCTGCTATAAATGCTTCTGTACATTTCTTTTGGTGAATGTATACAGACAGTTGGGTATATTTGGAACTGCTAGATGGTAATTAGGCAGATGATCTGCTTTAGTAGTTAATACCAAATGGTGTTCCACTTGGTTATACTAGTTTATACTCCCAGCAGAGGTTTATGAGTATTCCAGTTGCTTTATATTTTTACTGATTACTTGGTATTTTAAGTCTTAATTTTAACCATTAAGTATGTAAATATACCTCCTTATGGTTTCAATTTACATTTACATGTTGACTAATGAAGTTGTAATGTTTATATGTATATTGGCTGTTTGTGTTGATATATCCTTTTTTCCCTCTTTTTTTCTGAAGGGTTTATTCAAGTCTTTTGCTCAATTTTCTATTGGACTGTCATTTTCTTCTTAATTTATAGGATTTTTTTACAATTTTCAGAATATATAAATCATATTTCAGTTGTATATTATTTAATATTTTCCAGCACTCCATGGCCTACTTTTTTTTTTAAACTCTTAATGGTATATTTGACGAAGAGTTCTAAATTTTACCATAGTCCAATTTATTTTTCTTTTTCTTTATGGTTAGTGCTAATCATGTACTGTATGAAGAAGTCTTTGCTCACCACAAAGACATACTTTCCTATGTTATCTTCTAGAAATGTTATTGTTTCACCTTTTATATATAGATTTACAATCCTCTGGAATTTTTACATATTGTGTGAGGTAGGGATCAAGATTTTTTTCCCCCTAGAACTAGAACCACCGTTGAAAGTGAAAGTGTTAGTTGCTCAGTCGTGTCTGATTCTTTGTGACCCCATGGACTATAGCCCACCAGGCTCTTCTGTCCATGGAATTCTCCAGGCAAGAATACTGAAGTGGGTAGCCATTTTCTTCTCCAGAAATCTTCCTGACCCAGGGATCAAACCTGGGTCTCCTGCATTGCAAGCAGATTCTTTATCATCTGAGCCACCAAAATAACAACTTGAAGGCAATATGTAATCCTTTGCCAATAGTTTCGAATCCTTTTTGTGAATATATTAAGTGTTTTTTCATTTATATTCATTAGAGCTTCATCCCTACTTTAAAAAAGAAAAATTTTTACTTTCTTGTCAGGTTTATGATGAAGGCCAGGTTTGACTCCTAGAGTAAGTTTCCTTTTTTTCCCTAGTTTTCTGGAATATTTTGTGAAAGGTTGGTGTTAAATTTTGGCAGACTTCATCAGTAAAGCTATCTGAGTCTGGTATTTCCTTTGAGGAAAATGTTTAAATATATGTTAAAATCTTAAACCAAATATTGGAGAATTGGGGCTTTCTATTTCTTCTTAGGTCAACTTTGGAAAAAGTAATTCTTTTTTCCAAATAATTTGTCCATTTTTTCCTAAAATTTTTGATTTATTGGCTTTAAGGTTTTCATAATGCTCTCTTATTTTGTGTATTTCTACACTCCCTAGGACTTATTTTAGTTATTCTATTGCTAATTTTTGGCTTCTTTTATCTTTTTGTTTAGTATTGCTAAAGACTTAACAGTTATATTAATCTTTTATCAATGTTTTTATAGAACCAAAGATTATACATGTGTGTATATATGTACTCATATATATACATATACATAAATATACATATATAAACCTAAAAGGAAGAAAACAATGAAAGTAGCATACATGTGTACTCTTATTTTCATTATTGCCTCCTTTTATGTTTATATTTAATTTGCTCTTGAGATGATGCTTAGATCATAAATTTTTAGTTTCTTTCTTTTTAAAATATAAATATTAAGGTGACAAGTTTCCTTCTAAATGTGACTTTAGCAACATATTGCATTTCAAATGTCTTATTTCTATTATCATTAAGTTCAAACATATTTTCTAATTTTTATTTGACTACTTTTTTGATCCTTGCTGCTGCTGCTGAGTTATATATAAATATGCTGATGAACGTCCAAACATTTGTTTGGAAACTATTTATTTTTTTGTTTTTGATTTATAGTTGAGTCTTCTGTGCTCAAAGATTATATTTGGTGTGATTTCAAGCCTTTGTAATTTGTTGACCTTTGAATTATGGAAAAATATATGGTTAATTGGGCTTCCCTGGTGGGTCAGTGGTAAAGAATCCACCTGCCAAATAGGAGATGTAGGTTTGATCCCAGGTTTGGGAAGATCCCCAGAGAAGGAAGTGGCAACCCTCCCTAGTATTCTTGCCTGGAAAATCCCATGGATAGAGGAGCCTGGCAGGTTACAGTCCATGGGGTCACAAAAGAGTTGGATGCAACTTAGTGACTAAACAACAATATGGTTAATATTGATAAATATTACATGTACTTTGAAAGAAATATGTAGTCTGAAATAGTTGGATATAGGATTCTCTATTTTTAACATAGATCAAGTTCATCCATCATGTTAAAATTTCCCATATTGCATATTTTCCTTGAAATTCTTTCTATCAGTTACTGAGATATATGTGTTAGACTTTATTAATAATCATAAATTTGCCTGTTTCTCTTTTATTTTTGCCAGTTTTTTATTTACACATTGATTTATTTGCATTTTGAAACTATTATTAAATATTCAGGCAATTCTCACTTTGTAGCATGGAAACACAAAATGACCATGTGTCCTAAAACTGTACAAAGTAAGCTAAATAATCAATGGAGAAAATCACAATTGTTACATGATATTTTTGTCACAACATTAAAAACTTTTATTTTTAGAAATATATGTGAAATGAAATGAAAAAACAGTAAAATTTAGCTCATTATAATTTAAAACATTACAGAGAATTAAAGTGTTTCATTTCTTTGTAAAAAATTTATAAGTATAGTTTTAACAGTTCTTGCCTTTTTATTTTTTATTTTTTGCATCATATGACTTATATTACAAAGCAAGTGATTTTTCTATACTGTTGTGAATTGTAATATTCCTTTCCAAGTTTGATCATCTTCCAACATTTTATGGTACTTTGCACTTTCAATGTTATGAAACATCTCTGAGAGTTCTTTTAATATGAATTTTTTCTTGGCATCATTTCCTCTGGGACATCTTTATCCTTTTTGTCACAACCACTTTTCTCCTTTTTGCTGATAATTTCATTTTCACTAAGTTCCTCTGGCTGCAAATACAGAGTCTCTCAAACAGCAGCAGCATCAGCATTCCTGTACTCAATTATTTCATCTGTAATTCTGTTTACCTTTCATTCAAATTTCACCTCTAGCATTATAATTTTTTGTTTCTTTGCTGCACTTTCATCTTCCCTAGAGGATCCCTTCTTTTGATTATCCATTTTTTGTAAAATGTCATGTGGGTAATATGTCAGTGGAAGATGAGACAATGCAACTACACATTTTTCTGTCTCTGTGTGAACAGAATAACAGGTACACAGGGACCAATCAATGACAATTTAAAAGAAGAGATGTAATTAGTCACTTTATCATGATTCTCATTGGTTATTTATATGGTGATTTGTGGATGAAAGGACTATTAGTGGAGTTTATACTTTTTGCAGTTACAATTAATATTTTTTGCTAATTGAAATTTGAATCACATTATCTGGTATTACATAACTAAATTGTGATAACTGATATTTGTGAATATGGAAAGTACATAAAGTGAAACTACTGTCAACAGATAATTTTAGAACTTACTACATCTTCCTTGTGGATTATCTCTTTTAACACTAAGAAATGTCTATCTCTAAGAATATTTCTTGCTGCACTATAAACTTGGTATAATATTAGTATAGATATATATTTTTGTTTGTTTGCATATTGTTTCCTCTTCCATTCTATTACTTTTAATCCTTCTGTGAAATTATATTTAATATACTTTATTTGAAATCAACATATCTTTATATATATGTAAAAAATATAAATAAATCTAAGAAATCACCATATATATAAATCTAAAATTTTTTATTTTCCAATTGTAGTATTTAGTCTAATTACATTCAATGCAATTAATGATGCTTCCCTGGTGACTCAGTGGTAAAGAATCTGACTGCCAGTGCAGGATGCAGGAGATGTGGGTTTGATTCCTGGATCAGGAAGATCACTTGGAAGGAAATGGCAGTCCACTCTAATATTCTTGCCTGGGAAATCCCATGGACAGAGGAGCTTGGCAAGCTACAGTGTGTGGGGTCACAAAAGAGTCAGAAACAATTTAGGAACTAAGCAGTTTTAAATTTACCAGCGAATCATTTGTTGCTCACTTTTCCCTCATAATTTGTATTTTCCTATTTCTTGCCCTTTTTAGATTAAATCAATTCAGTTCAGTCACTTAGTCATGTCCAACTCTTTGTGACCCCATGGACTGCAGCATGCCAGGCTTCCCTGTCCATCACCAACTCCCTGAGCTTGCTTAAACCCA